TCGAATTTTGCTAATCAATTTTGTGTGTGGCAATTTCATCGTGGACACCCTTTAATATCCAAAGTCCATCCTTTTTTACATATTCTGCACATAAGAAACTTTTTGCTCCGCCCCATTCATAAAAAAACGGCGGGAAATCCTATCAGGTTCTGAACCTGAAAAGATATAAAACAGCGCTGCTGTCATGCTTTTGCTCATTTTCGCTTCGGACGGCGTGGCACTTGGTCCTGCAGTAAGCAGGACCAAATCAGCGGCTTAAGGTGGATCACGGCGTGACCACAATGAGAAAAAGTTATGTATGTAAACCCCCTCCCCCTTTCACAACAACCTCTCCCCCTCCCCCCTTCACAACAATCTCTCCCCCCCCCCCTCCACAACCTATCCTAACCCCCCCTCCTCAATAACCTCCACCCCCCCCCCTCAAATACCACTCCAAACCACCCCCACCCGCCCCTCAAATACCTCTCCTAACCCTCTCCTAAGATAAAGTATAATAGTCAAAAATACACGAAAAACATCAATTTTGTGTGGTTCTACGTCATACTGCGGTCGTGTCTAGGACACAACGCTTTAATTTTTTGATTTATAATTATAGCTAAACAATCAACGAGGAGAAATTAGAATTTAAGTATAAAAGTACAACCACGTTGCTTTAACTCACTTAACAAAACGAAACTATCACGCGAACAAAATGAAACACTTCCACTGTAATCTGCGGTTCCAACGAAAGTGAAGCGAAACCGTGACCCTCAGATTAGGGAAGGTGACCTCGGCCGAACTTAACGGAAGTTCGATTTTCCCGCGAACTTCTTCGAACTAGATCGGCAATGCGAGAGATTATTCCGATCGGTGGTCCTTCGTTCAAAGTCGGGTGTAGCCACACTCTCTCTTTTCCCAACTTTCCCGAAGATTTCACTGGACCGGTCTTGCGAGAAATTGTACAAGGTCGAGTGGCTTTACTCACGAGGCATTCTATTTTTATAGTAAATCGACCAGTGTCGTTTTGCTACTGGCATAGCTTTTGGCGTATGGAGTCGATATATTTCATTCTTATTTTATTTATGACTAATTTACTATTTACAACATGGAGTGACTGTTACAACGGCAGGAAACATTTGTGAAGCCGAGTTATTTACGAAAGAGAGTGTCGATGAAGAGAATCGATCAATGTAGATAGGACCTATTGAAAAGTGACGCGAGATTTGTTTTCCTTACTGAGCTCCAATTAATGCTACCGACGCCAGGGAGGCAGCTCCCACACCTGGACCCTACCAATCGACCCATCAACTTAACCGGGGACCAACGGCTTTACTTCCCGAAGGAAGGCGTGATCAGAGATGTTATGCCTTAGAACATGCCGGTGGCGCCGACTGAGATTGGACCCAGGCCTGCTGGGGTGAGAGGTAATCACGCTAACCACCGGCGCCGATATCTTTCAAGGTGATATCACGGCGAATGAGAACGACCCAAATTTGAGTTTAGTTATCTCAGAAATAAGAAATAAACTGCAGGAACTCAGCGATGAGTAAATTTGCCTCATGTTTTCCCAGGTTTTTCCAGGATTTTCCAGGGAAACATTCCCGAATTTGAGAAAAGTAAAGATTGTATTCACTAAGTCTATTGGTACTACTCCGAGACTGAATAAAATTTTCGTCAATTTCCTCATTTTCTGGCAGATTTTTTAGGTTTTCCACAGGAAACCATGAGACAAATTTACTCATCGCTGAGTTCCTGCACATTTGTCGATTATAAGTGAACTAAACTCAAATTTGGGTCGTTCTCATTCGCCGTGTACGCAAAAGGAAAAGAGCCAGTGTCGCTACTTGATAGCAAACTTCTCATAATGGGAGGAGTCTTTGTAGCTTTTATACCACTTGGTTGCAAATCATTCTGCTTTAACCTGAAAAGATATAAAAGAGCGCTGCTGTATGGCATTAGCTCATTTTCGCTTTGGACGACGTGGTGAGCAGCAATAGCAGCAGTAGGAAGGTGGTGACTAGTCCACTCCTTCACACCTAACAAGCAACAATTGACTGGTCGTGGCAAAGGAGGAAGAGGAGGAAGGAGGAGATGCTTAGCCATATTTCTGATCGATTGGTGATAACATTATTGAAATTGGACCAGGGGCAGCTGAGTTATTAACGTTCAAAATCTTTCTTAATTTGTTACATGTTCCATTTTCGGTTTTCACAAAGTGTACCCCCATATAGAAATCAAAGACGTAGTCCTACGTCAAAATGTGTTTGCGTATAGAGCGTATGTATTATATAGTAAAGAATGCAAAGCAACTATGCAATCATAGGCAGTTTACACAACCGGTTAGCAGTCGTGATTATTTCAGTTACCGTGGGAACATAATTTGTGATTAGCCGCGGTCCCTTTCAAATTGCATCATTATTTATTTACGGTCCTTACATTTGAAATGACGTTTCACATTCATCTAATGATGGCCGATTTTCATTCGAATAATCGATTAATCGATTAACGAACCAAAAAGTAAAATATTTGTAATCGTTTATATCATGCCGACCTACACGGTAAGAAAAAAGTACCCAAAAGTAAGTTCTTTTCACTCATATCGGCACTATAGTGTAGGAACTTAAAAGTAGGTAAAGCGAGTTAAAGTAGTTTTCATTTACTTGTGTGCAATTCGCATGGAATTTTCCACTAGCTTTCAACGCAAAAGTAAGTTAGTTGTACCCAAAAGTAGTTAAATATGGTTATACGCAACGTTGGGTTCCCACACTTTACTGCCCCTGTTGGGTGGTTTTGCTCCTCCATTTTTGACAACATTAGAAGGAGAAAAGGAGACAAACTACACACTCAAATTTGAAATCAAGATCCAGCAAAACAAATTGCTGAACAGCTTCCAGCAAAAACATGTTCTGCTGTATGTTCAGTAATTTGTAATATTTTGCTGGATGCTCAGTAACGTGTGTGAGCTCTCAAACTATCACCCTTCACTTTCCCGCGTATTCTGTTTTGCAATTACAACAGTGCCAGCTATCATTAATTACAGGTAAAAACAATAAGAATAATTGCAAATTTATTGTGAACTCTTCATTAAATTCAAAATCTTATTCGTAATATTTCTATTCTCTGCTTTAATGTAGCTGCAACAATTACCGGATTAGACAGTCAATGAGTATCGTCCAGTGTACGATGGATCAAAGCGGATCAAAGGAAAATATTTACCTTTTTTAAATTATGAACAACAGTTATCTAGTTAGTTAGTCTATGTGTAATTTTTATGCGAAATTTAAAAGTGCGTAGTATAATACCACATTAGATTGTGTTTTATTTCATTTTTAAATGCAATTCCAATTCAATCGTATTACAACAAATTACTGATCTTTCAGCAAAATCATTGCCTCTCGGGTTTGCTGGATATCCAGTAAATATTGCTGATGTTTCAGTAAACAGCTGTCACTTTTACGTCGGGTCATTTTGCTGGTCGTTCAGCAATAATATTTTGCTGGAAGAATTGCTGATTTTACAGCTCGGCAAAATCCAGCAAAACTTTGCTGGTTTCCAGCAAAATAAAAATAGTGTGTAGTCAAAAGTAAGTAAAAGTGAACTTTTCGTTGGGTACTTTTTCTTACCGTGTAAGCATTAACTTCTCCAAAGGATTATCACCCATCGTTTCAAACATGTAATGCACTCTCATTGGTGGAAAAATGACAGCACAGCGAACAAAACATAATCGATTAGTTGTTAATCGAGTAATGAAAAAAAATGGGACATCTTTGATTTTGGTGTGACTGTTTTGATAAAAAAGAGCACAAAACTTCATCTCTACCGAGGAGGCAGCAAATCCACAAAATAAGGTGCTACTACCCGAACCTCCAACTCCGTAGCATGAGGGTGTTGCTAAGTCGGTGGTCTCTCGTTAAGTAAGTAATACATCAACATTTCCTTCCCTATCCCTAGTTATGGTAAATATGGGCGTGGCCGGGAATAGTGACAGTCATGGTACTGGAATTCTTGTTCAGATTGGAATTCCCCAGCATTATTCCTGAAAAAAGTCGTAAGTGTCGCTAGTATCCAATCTACAAAGTAAAGAAGGAAAACAACTGCATCTTACAACTTTGAATTCTTATGGGACTTAAAACGAGTTCATAACAAAAGATTTTAATTTAACATATAGCACTACAATCGGTTGTTAGTACGACCAAAACATTTTCCGTAAAATACTTAAATTCAAGAAACCTAAGCTTACATTTGATGTATTTGCATTATGTATAGTTTGATCAATCAGCACTCTTTTGTTGATTTTTAGTAATTTAAACAAAGCAAACCTATCAGTATTAATGAAACATATCAGAGTTAATATACACTTGATACACAAACTGATATCACATACCGTTTTCACATCTATCATTAAATAAATAATGAACCACCTTCACATTACCACCATTGCCATCATCTTCACCATCGTCGCAATCGCATTATCAACAGAAGCAGCAACAGGTTCGTATCGAGGAGGAAAAGTTCGAAACGAGTCACCGTATCAATAGCTATTCCATATGCGAGCGATTTCAGATATGGTGGTGTGTGGTTGATGGTTAAAAACGAAATAGTACGGCTACTAACGTAAAGGCAATGATAATCGGTTGGGCTGCTGACTCTGTAGCGATAACAGTCGGTTCAGGTATTAATGCTTCACCCGAGCTGCAGTGAATTCACAAAATAGTATTAAAATGTAACTTATATTGATAGATGCGAGGGCAAGATAAAGTCCTTACAATGTATGTATGTTATGCACAATCGTACTACCAACACCCGGCTATTGTAATTTATTAATAATCTGCAAAATATAGTACAGCGAATATATACTTTTTATCATAGCTCGTTGAAGCAAATCAAACCAATACATCCAATCAGTCGGGAACTGATAGCAACGATAGTCGGCAAAGCTTTTCCTCAAAGTTGTGGTTGAGCGACGTGTTTACGAGTCAGGTGTATTCTGCCGCGACTGCATTAGTCACTCTTGACCCAGGCAAGAAGCTCGTCGCGCCGTTTTTCGCAGTTTCAGACGTTATCGCGTTCCATTATTGAAGGTCCCTCGGTGGTACTGCCTTTGGATATACACGATCGATTTTAAACTAGCATTAGCAGCAGTAACAGCAACAAGGAAGTCAGTGGCAGTACAAGTAAAAGTGAAAAATGGAGAAATAACTTCACTCTGTTACCCATTTTGTGGAACTGCAAGCAGTGCAAAGTGCAGTTGCACAATCGCCAACCTGATACATACGAACACGGACATACTCGAAGTGATAACAACTAGCGCCAGTGCTCTGCGTTCTCCAGCTGTTGTCTCGTTACGAGTTTTGCAATTTCGTGACCACAAGTGACAAACAGTCCGACAGTAAGTGAATGTGTGTGTATGTGTGTAGGTCGCATAGATAGGGTTGTTCAATTTTGCGGAGGATAAACAGTTATGTGTGTGTGTTGATGGTTTTTATGAGTCATTTTAACTGGCTTGATAACAACGGCTGTAAACGAATCGAGTTATGTGATGGGAATCGTTTTGTTAAATTTTATTTTATCAAAGGTATTTAAGAGTTCTTAAAATTTCTTCCATATCAGGGGCGCAAACACATAGCCAGAGTTGATAAAAACAATTTCTTTAATACTCTAACTGGCTGAATTTTAAGTCAACCTTAAAAGATAAACCTACTAATTGTATGAGTATGATTATCGACATTTCAGCATTCTTTTTATCAAGGCAACTGTTAACTTTCAAATTTATTTGAGCTCATCCACAGATAAGAGTTCATTTATCATTCTTGTTGATGTCAAATTCAATATTCACTCCCATTTCGAACAATATGATGTGGATGGGGTTGTTTTTAATATAGTTCCACATATTTTAAAATGCATGACTTACTCGGACAAGTCGCCAATCGTTTCACACTTCACATTGTTTACTGTGCAACATTTGTCCATTACCATGACGCTTACCGATCAAGGTGACAATTACTGAATGATAAAAAATGTTCTTTTGATATTCAGTATTGAAATATTTTGATTAAACTTGTTTTAAATATTTTTGACATTTTACATACGTTATCCAACGATCTATTGCAATACATCCACGATCCATGTCAAATTTAAAGAAAATACATTTATGTTCAATAATGTTATCGCATTTATAAGCTCGGTCCTGGATTATTGTCTTTGGGAAAAATGACTAAAGGTATGCAACAGTTCATGTAAAACAGCTTCTACAAATATTTTTCTTCCATGGTTGACCGGTTCAACAAAATTAATAAAATAACTGATATCGTGAGTACAATATAGGGAAATTTACGCAGCGTCCGCCCAGAGATTTTTCTCGACGTAACACACACACCAATGCAGTGGTTGATTGTTTACATTCGTCTGCTGCCTGCTGCTCTATCCATTCCAACCGATAGAACTGTAAACAACTGTTTGAAAACGTTTTTACAATGCTCCAAACTTCTCAGGTAAGTGTGACTATTGTCGGCAACGCCATTTTCTTCGGCAACCTTTATATTTTATCGGCGGGTTAACCAGCTGTTATATTATCGACAACTCCAAATCAGCCGCATTTTGTAGTGCGTACATTTTATTTAACGATAAACCAGACATAGCCGATTTGTTCAGTCGTAAAAATGTAATCGGATTGAAGTTGAAAGACTAAGGAATCGTTTCATTACATTACAATAATAACAATATTCTTTGTTATGTCCGGATGACGCATTATTCTAAGAAAAATTGAAAAATATGAGATTTTTATCGATTTAATTTTTTATCATAAACTTATACCATAATGCACCGAAATCCGGACAGTAAAAACTCATATGATATTAATTTCCTTCAATAAAAAATATTGTCGTCGCTTTTCACAAGACTGGAATATTTCTTATGAATTTCAAGGAATGTTAGCCTTGAATCAACGAATAACATAAAATAACATTTAACTTGTTCAAAATCGGCATATTCTTTGGTCATGACGTGATTTAAAATCCGGACGCATTTTAACAATGATACAATTTCCGGACACTTTTCCTTTAAATTCCGGACGTAGTAGTTTTTTTTTGAGAAAATATATTTATGTACAGTCATAGCTATATATTTATTGCTCAATTGTTGATTTATTGAAAATATAAAGTAATCTTGATTTCTTAATGCAGTGTGATAAAATTATTTTAGATAATTTATTCTTTAAAATCCATGAGCAATCGTATAATAATTACTATAAAGATACGAAACGTAAATACACTTAAAATGGAAATCGGAAATGAATTACAATGTTATTTCTTCCATTTCTGCGTTTTTTTCTTGCGATTTACATGGCCGTTTTTCTTTGGTTTTAGTTTGCTCTCTTCTGATTTTTTATGGTTCTCTTCTTCCTTTAACATTTTATTTTTATTTTTCGGTCTTCAATTCTCAATTTCTTCAAATCCTCTTGCTCCTGTTTCTCGTTTTCTTTGGCTTCATATATTCTCATCCAAGCATCGCTTGTGACCACAGAAGGGTAAGCACGCCTACGTTTCGAAGGGCATATTGGAGGATTTGCAGCGCTACTCGATTTTCCTGCATGATCGACTTGATCGTGGTTATTGGAAGCGTCAGTACTATTTTCCACTAAATCGGAAAAAATAAGCTTTAATAATGCAAGTATACGTTGGTATTTGTTGATTATACTAACGGTTCAACGTAATTGATTTGATTTTCAATCCACATGTCATGGTTGATATTCATCCTAAGTGATTCAGTGGGATCCCGAAAATTGAAAGTTGGACTTGATAGTGTGACTGTTGAAAAACCATTGAAGCCTGTTAGAGACCATTGGTATGTGAAACTAAATTGATGTTATTTGCAATCAACTTTATGGTTTTCTCCGAATTACCTTCATCATACTCTTCAGTGATGTTCTCACTAGTCGTTGCAAAAGTATCTTCAATACTTACTATAAGCGGCGACTCAATCATAAGGTATTCTAGTGGGCCTTCAACGTAGTCAACGAGATTCCTCCAAATTCCGAACGGAGAAGCATCTTGCACGTTGCCTGTCCGAAAAAATTTGTTGTGGTGGTTTCTAAATGATTCCAGCTGGGATGGTTGAAGCTTGCTATTCAAAAACTGTAGGAATGTAGACTCTTTAGAAGTATGTTCATGCATCTTTTCGGGTTCGATACACTTTTCAGTTGATACTTCATCATAATTAACATTCAATGGAGCAGGGGCTATCCCTGGTTCTGTTAGGCACTCATAATCAATCGCATTCTCATCAAATGGAACAAGCCGGCACTTTTGAAATTCGTTTACGAGCGTTTCCTTTGTACTAGACATGCTGTCTAACGCCTTCTCAAGGAGCGGAGCAAAATCGGATCGTAATATCATTGCACCTTGGTTCTCAAATTTCCACATTTTGAGATTATCCTGCCATGCAGCTTTCATGGGAGCAAAAAATGCCACATCCAACGGTTGCATAAAGTGTATTGAATTAGGAGGTAATGAAGCAAGGATGATCTTTTTCTTCTGTCAGAAAATAACGGTGTCGAAAGCGGCATGGGACGAATGTCCATCCTCGAAAAGCAAGACTGGGAACTGTAGTTTCTCCAACCCTGCTCATGGATAAAATACGTTCACAATGAACTCATTAAATGCCACTGAGTTCATCCTTCCTGAATCCGATCGGCCAACTCCCCAACCTCTTGGGATACTCCTAACAACACTGGTTGGAATCCTTGATTTGTACGGAAACAATATGAGAGGAGGAGCCAGTTTTCCCGAACCTTTTGGTGCAATAACTCATAGCTCGTCGGTACCACAGTATTCGCTGCCAGGCTGTTGAGCAGTACAGTCGACGTTTTTTCTCTCACATCGAGGCTGGTCCTACGAGGACTATACAAAATGGATACAGGCATCCTCTTGGAAGAGCTGGTGGCTAATGGACTGAAGCCGGTCCAAATTCACAAGATGGTCCACCACAACAAGGCCGTCAAGTACCGCGACCAGCTATACCTGGTTAACCTTGAGAAGAACTCAACAACTTTGATGGACCTCCATGGCATCCGTGTCCTGTTCAACATAGTGGTGAAGTGGGAGCGTTACAAGCCGGTCAGTCGTGGGGTCACCCAATGCTCGAACTGCCTGCTGTTCGGGCACGGAACGAAGAATTGCCATATGGTCAGCCGCTGCATCAAGTGTGGCAAACAACACAAAACCAACGCCTGCGACAGACTCGATGAAGCCGATCCCATCTGCGCCAACTGCGGTGCTGCTCACGAAGCTACAACCAAGGCCTGCCCGAAGCGCACCGAGTACATCGAGATCCAGAAAAAAGCATCGACGAGAAACCAGCCCAGCAGCAAGAAGGTGCCGGAAATGAATTATCAGAACTTCCCAACGGTTCCACGACGACGGATTCCAGTGATTCCAGGATCAACGATTGTCTGCTGCTCTTACCGCTGCTACTGCTGCTCAAGCTCTCACTGCCGGAGCCCCTGCAAACTCAGGCAGACGACTGCTGGTCCACAGCCGCAGAATCTCCCCACAGCCCCTGGGCTAAACTGGTGTCAGGATAGACCGTGCTTACCACAGCCAGAAATCAACGATGGTTCTTGGTTCACATTGCCAACACCATTAAGAATAAATCCGATCAGCTCCAAGCTGTGGCTACCTTCATGCTCAGTTATGGACCGTGAGCTTATCAAAATCGCAAACTGGAACGATTGCTCGCTCAAGAGCAAAATTATAGAGTTATAGCATCGACATCGCTATCATCACCGAAACTCACATGAAACCGGAGATGAACATATTTATTCCTGGATTCCGGCTCGTGAGGTTGAATCAAACAAGATCTGGGGGTGGTGGAGTGGCCATCGCTACCAGGAACAACATCTCCTGCCGGCTGCTACCGAGTTTCCAGCTGAAAATGGTTGAAGAGGCGTGGAACTCTTCACATCCGTCGGCCCCGTCACCATCATTGCGGCCTACTGCCCGAAACAAGCAAACGCCAGGGATGGATCCAAGGCAGACCTGCGGAGGGATATTGTCAAGATAACACGACGTCGTAGAAAATTCATCATCGCTGCCCAGGCAACCAGAATACACGTATATTCAAAGTTGTTTCTGTGATTTACAAACATATATACACACAAATAAATCGTATAGAATGCAAAAAAATGGCTTATACGTACAAAAGTGGAGGCCATATACGTGCAAATTTTATTTTATTTTTAAACGATTCGATTTGGCATAATATACGATTTAATCTGTAATAACAAATTAAATTTGAAAAGTTTTGCGATGTAATGCGATTTAATTAGTGATACAGCACGATGGAAAAAAATTCACTGTAAATAAGTCGGAAATTTGCATTTATACGATTTAA